CAGCCCCTGCCCGCCACCCCTCTCCCCGGGATCATGCACCCACCACTGCTCCTGCTGCACCCCAGCTGGGTGCATGCCCCCCAGGACCGCACCCCTCATCACTGCCCCGGCCCTGCATAGCCCCAAAACCTGCAGATGGGACTTTACATCCACGTCCCCTTATGCACAGCCTAGCACTCCCCATGCACCCACATTCCCAGTGGGGTGGCACGTGCACATATACCCTTCCCAAGCTCCCCATCCCCATTCAGCTTTCATCCCCTCTTACACCCACTGATGCTGCTTCACACACATGGTCATTCCTGTGCCACACGTGCTTTCGTGACCTGCAACCTCCACGGCTTCTCATGTACACACCCCAGGTCCCCCCCTTCCTTCTCTGCAGCCCTAGTCCTTTTTCACACACCTCCCAGCCTTCCCCACACTCCTCTTACAACTACACACCCCTCGAGTACAGCTTACATGAGGCATACCCTGCTCTACCATGTCATCCCATGTCCGGACCCCTTTGAACTCCCCGTACTCCACCTCTGATGGCCACCCCACACAGAGACTCTGCTGCACCAGAGGAGCACAGTACCTCCCACCCCAGTTCCTCTCCAGCTGTGGCTTCCCTCCAAACCCCTTGTTACCATCCAACAACCATCCCTGAAGCTCAGGCACTGGACACCAGAGTCCCTTCACGTTCCCCAGCCTCCTTTCCTCACCGGACTCCCTCCTCTGCTCTTTATAAGCATTCTCCTTTCCACATACCATGGCCTCTTCAACTGTGCACATCTCAGCTCCAACCGCCCCTTGGCTCTGTGTTTTTTTCCCCGTCCTCTCTCTCCCCAGACCCTATCACTCTCTTACCTACAGTCGGTGACTCCAGCCCCTAGGACTTGCCTCTGTGCCACAGCAGCCTTGGGCTGGCTGGCTTCCACTTTGGACACTTCGCCAGCACCCAAGGGGCACCAAGGAACCATCTCCATCAGCAGTTTCCTGGAGCTGTGGCCAAGAGCAAAGCTGGGGTGGACAGAGCTTGGGGAACACCCACCACCAGGAGGGGCAAGAACCACCTTGCACCGTCCTGGATTAAAGGGAAAAAATGCAGAGGAAGAACCACACCATGGGCCCGCACGGGGCGTGAGACTGGGTCACCAACCCTCAGCGCAAGGCTCACCTGCTGTAGGAAGAGCAGCCAGAAAGATCTTATAGGGAACAGAGCCAGCTCCTCGGGCTGGCAGGCAGGCGTGAGCTAAATAGTCTCCTCATGTATGAAAGAGTCCTATAGGCGTTGCTAGCAATTATCTGGGCAGTGCTGCTAAGTTGGGTGAAGAATCTGACATTAAATTTAAAAAAAAAAAAAACCTCAAGGGAAGACCTCAGGTAAGCAGAGTTTGTAAGAGGTGTGAGGCTCTCCCATGTTTCCACATCAGCTCTTGGAAGACTGTCACTTCCTCATGCTCAGAGCTCTGTGGTAAAAGCCTGCGTACCTGGAAAGAAGAATCCAGGTCAGGAACGGAAAAGTTTAGTTTAAGCTGCTTCTTATTGTGTCAACCCTGGCAGAGCTAATCTTAAAATCTTTTTGCAACGTCTCCCTGCCCCAAAAGCTAGGCCCACATGAAAGAATTGTAGTCTTCCCCTGACAGGGCCACTCACTTGCCCACCTCCCAGCACAGTTGTGGCTGTACCCTGGAGCCTGTATCGTATGCATTCCACACCTTTCCGCTTTCTTACCAAAAGGACGCTTTTCTGAAGTGCCGAGCTCCCAGGGGAGCACCTGCAGCCAGAGGAGGGTGGAAGGAGATGAAATCTCATTGTTACAGCTGCCTTTCCTTTTAGAACAGGCCAAGCAATTGAATAGACTCAATCGATAGATTGATCAAACTGCTCGCAGAGGTCTTGTGAAGTATGACTCGCTCTTAATGAACGGAGGTTAAGAACATGGAGCCAAAGAAAAGTAGCAGTAGGGGATTGTGCTGAGCATTCTGGGTCTGCAAGGAAGAGTTTCTGAACAGCCTGTTGGCTTATGCCTACATTTAAAAACTGCAGCATCAATAGCATTGCTTCTCCTTACAGAGTAAACAGACTCTAGGCATTTTGTGCATCTTGAAACAGCCCAAATCACAGGTGGATGTACTTAAGTTCCATTGCTTAGACCTTTAAGCAACACAAAACTATTATTTTTTTCTAAAAGGTGTACTCTTGTTAACTGAAGTCCTGGGTTTGATACAGGAACACCAGGTGACATTCATCCATCCATCCATGTCAGATAGGAAGTCAGAGAAGTTGACTACTATGGCCTTAGGAAAAAAAAAAATACTTACTACTTACATTGCTAAACAAAAAGAGAAGGATAGCAACCATTCCGCAATGAAGGTTGCTCTCAAAGGCATTTCTAGTCTTCCAAACAAATATAAATCTTGATTGGAAACAACAAAAAGCATCAAGCCCACCCTTTACTTAAGCAATGCAATTTTTGCTCCTGAAGAAGTACATGCTTACCTGCCCATAAGGATGCTGCACCATGCCAGAACCCCACCTTGGAGAGTATCGAGTGTCCTACTTTGTGTCTTTTTTGCTACTTTATTCTTGGCTCCTGTAAAACCACGCCACCACACACACCAGAGGTCTGACGGGTATTTGGTCATACAGCAACGTTCTCCCCTTGGACCTTAACCCCTGGGTAAGAAAGCAGCTTACACCACGAAGAAGTTGGCTACTATGGAGCAAAGGAGGAAGGAATGTGGAAAAAAACTAAAGTGGAATTGCTACTTGGCACAAAGAACCAAGAGCCTCTGGCAAAAACTGAGCCATTTACAGAACTACACGTTAAAGCTATTTTGTAAGCCATCTTCACGTCGTAAAAGGAAAAAAAATACTGAAAATGCCCAAGGAGATTTTAAAATTACCAAGTCTTGCAGCTGTTTTGTAAATGGTTTTACTAAGAGCTCTGTAGCTGTCCTCCCGCTCCCTCGCCACCAGCTCTTACTCCCCTACGTCAGGAGGGCATGATGCAGCACCTAACAGCCAGCATTCCCACAAATTCTCATCGTGACAAAGGAGAACAGGTTTCATAGGATTTAAGGTTCATCTTTGCAACATAATCCTGTACAAAACCAAACTTCACCCATTTCGGGATTCTAAGTTCAGAAGTTTTAATAAACTGTTCTCTAGTTGTAAACAATGAGGTCATGAGTTATCACTGAACATTTATACCAATTCAATGCTGTGCTGATTTCCAACCTGCCTATTATGTGCTTAAAATCTCGAGCAAAAAAGTAGCGATGAGTTATTTAGTTTACCTGTCAATCCCTGCTCAGGCACGTACCACAACTAGAGACATATAATTCAAAATAAAACAAAGCAAACAAGCCAGTAACACCAGGATAGTTTTTATTTGCTCCCTGAATTAAATATTGGCAGATACAGAAAATTCAGATACCAACTATTTCCCCAACATTTACAAGACTGTGTTTGCAATGTCAGAAAACAAGCACATTTATGCCCAATCCTGGCAACTGATAGTGTGAGTGCACAAGATCACCCTGCCTGACCATCGGTTTTTAAGAGGCAGTATCCCTGGTCTCTAGCATCCAATGCTGTCCCCTCACTGACAATTGTGGCACCACGGAACGGCCAAGAAAATATCCTGAGTGGGCAGCTCCAGTGCATTTCCCCCCTGCAAAGGATTTATTCCTCGCTCCTCCTGAAGGGGCAGAGGCAAGGTCAGCACATCCAACCACCAACCCACCTACGAACACAAGCTGATTCTTGTTGTGCCTTTTTTGCTCTGTTCTTTGAGAGCGGGGAAGAACACAGCACAGTGATGCTGTTCTTAAAGACCCTGTTGCTGCCACACGTTGTCTGTGCTAGCAACAAAGTGCCAGAAGCACGCTCGTTCCCTGCTGCATGCCAAGTTGCTCTGCGGCTGCTGAACTTTACAGTGGGTTTGCAGCACTTTCCCCACTGTCTGAGGGAAGTTTTCAAACAAATAAAAAGGACATGAAGTAAACAAGTTTGTATAACTGAAATCATGTGGAAATACAAAGCACGTGCTGTTGAAGGAAAGACCATTCACTCCTTTTCTCACTGGAGCAGAACTTAGGAACTTGCATCCTCCTTAAAGCAGCTGGTGCAGTCAGTGGCCCCAGAGCAAAACACAAGAGTAGTTGGTGCAGCAGGAGGAGCCAGGCATCTCCGCTCCCTTTTTATAAAAAAATAAAGAAACAGACACTTTTCTAAAATGTCTGCTAAGCTGGGGACACACACACAACAGATCACATCTAAGATGTAGTGGCCCATACCGCATTTCACTGGCCAGTGCACATCCACTATTAGCCAACCCCCGCTGGGGGAACTAAGCACGTATTATCCCCTGTTCTACAGAAGGGGAAAACACATGGTTTTACCAACTCTACTGTGCAACCTCATGTTAGATCCTAGCACGGCAGATGGCAAGAGATTTTCCCTTTTGGAAAGATCATAGAAGTGCCTTGTAGGCTGCAAAATGCCTTAGGCATCCTCAGATAACTGCATCTTCTCCAGGCACAGAAACTCCTGAATCCCAGTCCTCCACTCCAGATCCTAATCCACATGCTCCTACTCACCAACCTTGCCAGTGTCTCTTCAGCAGGCGTTCTCTTAGCTCCAGAAGCAACAATGACTCCAAATAACTTAGCTGTATGACCATTCTTCCACAACCCCAACAGTTAGATTTATAAGGGCGTTGTATGCATTTGCATCTATTTGCTCCCTTTGTATTAGTAACAAGGACCTCCCAAAATATAGGTTATAGTATATGACATCCCAGCTCCAGAGGGATTTGAGGTATTACCACGTCCCGCTTTTCCCTTATGGTTTTTACACTGGGCTGCAACCATCCAACATAAGGTGCCACTGGGTGAGTAAGGGAGGGAGGGAAGTGGCAAAGTTGGGAACACACAACTTAATTAATGATGGGATTGTCAGTCACTTCGATGTCAGGCCCCACATCTACACATCATGCACTGGCATTGATCTTGCCCTGCCCACTCGGCCCAGAAAGGCAGTGAGAGTGCCTCTTCTCATGCCAAGCCACCGTGTCAGTCTTGGTCGCCATCAGACGACTCTTCCTCTGCCTCCTCCAGCCACTGGATAAACTTCTGAAGCTGCAGAGAGAATGAAATGTAACTGGGTAACAACTGACACCGAACAGATGCTGGGAACGCTCAACATGCGTCAACGAGCACCACTATCCTGCACATGACAGAGTCTTTCTAGGAGGCACGGAAACAGAGGCAGATTGAGGGAGAGAGAGACAAAAGTTTAGATGAAAAACAACTGGGATGCCATGGACAAACCCAGACTCGTTAGATTCCTGAGGGAGATTCCTCCAGTCAGACAATCCCCACAACACTCAGCAAAAATACAAAAGTTTGAGGGTTTTTCAGAGCTTGAGGGAGAAGGGATGACAGCTGCACCTTAGCGGAGACGTTTTAGGAAAACTCTGCTGGGAAGAGCCTACTCCCTGAGAAATTGCTATAAAGAAGGCAGCTCATTTTACCTTTTAACCAGGCTAGAATAAGCAGCTGAAAGCACTGCTGACCTACATTAAAAGCTGACTTTGCAAAGGTTTTAAACAAAGTTGGAGTTCTTCAGAGATGGCTTTTTAACCCTGCTCCTCTTCCAGATCCAGAGAGGAGGACTGGAACGGAGCTCAGCCAAACTGCAGCACAAAGTTCTGCCTGATGGAGGGGAGAAGTTTATAGGCTCCTTGCAACATAAGCCAAATGAAACCACTCAGTACAGCAAATGCTTAGAAATATATGTGAAGGGATGGGTGAGCCAGGAATGAAAGCTTCAAAGGAATTGCATGGGGCCAGCACACAGGGCATTGGCCTAAAGCCCATTTCAAATGGGTGTTGGCTTAGAGAAGCCATGCTGCCACTCCAGAAAACGCTGGCCTCGTGCTACAGAGAGCCCACTAAAAACAATCTCCCTCTCCTACTACCTCCATTCCTCATCCAAACAGGACAATTATGGCAGAACACACAGAAACGTCTGTTCTGGAGAACAAAGTTGTGTTGCTTAGTGTTCAATGCACTGGTGTGTTACTGGCCTAACATGTAATGGCAGCTGCTCCACAAAAGGTGACAGTGGCACCAAACTCCACTCAAAGTTTCTTTTAGCAGCTGTTGTCTCTCTCTCTCTCTCTCCCCCCCCCCCGCCCCCCCCTTTAAACACCTTTGAGACTTACCCGCTGGTTTTTACGAAGCTGCTTTCCCTTGTCAGACGTGTCCCGTAAAGAGAACCAATTGAGAATTACATCTTCTTCCAGAATTTCCAGCTGGTAAAACGTCATCAACACCTGCATTGATTAGAAAAGAGCAACAGGGCTCTCTATAAACTCTTTTGGGGCTAGCTTGTGTCCAAGCACAAAGTTTGCACATAATCTATGTCTCACAGCTCCATCTTCAACAGAAGGCACTCAGTCTGCTTCATTTTGCTTGTATTGTTAAAAATAACTGTGCTTCTCCTACCGAGCCTTATGTTCCTGACAGTTAGATGCTATGACACATTATGAGTCAAAGTTCAATCCCCATCAGCTTCAGCTCTGTGGATGCAGGGTATGATTGAGAGCTGCGGGCAACAAAGGGCCACAGAGGATGTCAGTTCAAGACGTTACTTAAGTTCTCTTTTTCAAGCACCCCAAAACCCATCCACACAGCAGATCTAACAAGCAACTCTTATGCAGGCACAACTGTGACCTGCGCAGAGAAGTGCGTGAATCTATCCAGCCCTGCCCCAGGCTCCCTCCTCCTGCCAGTTCTCTCTTAAAAGTGCCTTATGGCAGGTGTCAAAGCAATTGGTCATTCATCAGCTCAAACTCCTGCCCAGTGCAGCGAGGGTAAGATGCAATCATGCTTTCTCAGGGTGCCTTTGTGCTCAGGCAGAGCAGCCACTTTGCAGTCAGTCTCCTTGTGGCAGAGCACTGACAAAGCTGGCTGCCAACTCCAAATATAAAGTGTCACTTCAATTCCCGGCCTCCAGGGAAACCCAGGCCCCTAGAACAATGGACACATGCCAAACAATTGCTGTAATTCAAGGACATTTTGGCTCACCAAACTGAAGGCTTTTGGCTTCAGTCCTAAGTGCTTTGCCATTAGCCAGAAGCACTAGGTAGCAGGTTAGGATTACTCTTTCTTGAGGAACCAAGAGTTAAGCAGGCTCTAGGAGAGCTCTTCCAAAAGAGACAGGGGCTTCCTGAGACACTGCTAAAGGAAAGACTGGTGATCCAAGTCAAATGCTCTCAGTGTGATAGGGCAGAAAGAATACAGGGACAAAATATTTTTGAAGAAGGGTGAGGCGGAACATACTGAAAAATCTCAGAAACGAGGAGATAGGTAATAAGCCACATGTCAGCTCCCCTTTATTCCCAGTTTCATAACTAGCTCAGCCTGAGTGAAATCCCCCCCTTATTCCCAGCTTTGCTTGTTTTGTACTCTAAAATAGGATAAGCCATTTGGCAGTTAGATCCCAGCGACCAGAAAGAGACAAAGTAAAGTTCTTCCTAAAGCAAGCCTCTGGCCTTGCCTCTTCCAGTGTCACACAACATGGGCATCCTGGTTAGAAGCTGCAAAATAGCAGCTCCCTGCAGGCTGCATGCTGGTAATTAATACTAACCCTCAGCTGTGCTCCCTCAGAGGCACAGGCAGACATACAAGTGGGGTTTTTTAAAGCAATTATTATAGATGGATCTTCTATACACCTTCTCCGCTGAGACCTCAAATTGTCTCCTCTAAAGCAGACAAGCTGATGATGCAAACAGGATGCATTTCATCATGAATCTAGCAAAAACAGGTGCTCAGAGTTAGGAGCAGATACTCACTTTAGCTATCGACGTGCAGAGACTGTCATGTTCCAGGAAGAATTCCTCAATGGCAGATAAGGCATTCAAGTGATCTGATGCCCGTTTTATGTAGTTCTTAAACAACGGGGTCCAGTTCTTCAACAGCTGCAGGGGAAAAGCACAGAAGAGTTCCTGAGCTGAGATGGATGTGTGCGCTCAGCCCTGTTTCTCAGCTGTGTTGCACTAAGTACTGACTCAGGGAAGCATTTTAAGAAACCATTCAGCAGACACTTAATATATTTGTCCCGCTCTGTCCATGAAACAAATGCTATTAAGTCTCACATGCGCAGATAGGACCTGGTTTTACTAAGCAGCTTTGAGGATATCTGTTAGCTTTCTTGGTTTCGCCTCTCTGGATGGAATACTAGATTATCACAATAAAAGTGTTTAGTGGAGTATGGTATTCAAAGAAAATCACTTCACAGCAGATCGATAAGGAGAAGTACATACATGCTACTCAAACCTTCCCCCCACAGAGCAGCTGACATTTCAGTAGAACTCTCCTTCAAAGCAGAAGAGCAAATAAGAAAAAAAAAAAAATGAGAAAAAGATAGTGCCAGGAAAACTATCAGTCGAGTAGAAGTGGACAGTGCAAAATAGCCACCCCTAAAACAGGAACACAGTGGAGCAGCCTCTAAGTGCAAGTCACGTGCTTGCTGTGTGTCTACAGGCTTATTTGGATTCTGGAGTCTGCTGCAGGGAATGGGTGGGAAGGATGAAGGGCAAGAGGTTGTTACACTATTAGCTGATCTCAGTTTTCTCCTCCAAGGCTTGTTTTTTTATGATGTCTTTAGTTTAATGATTTTAGTGTTGCCTATCCAAACAGTATTTCTGTCCGAGTCCCCCACAGCTCTTTCACTTGTACATATCTGGAAAACAAGCAGCAGGGAAAGCTCTGCAAAGCGGTGCAGACTGACCTGAATCTGGGATAGGAGGTAATAAAGATACTTAGACCCCTGTCCATAACAATTTTAAAAGGTATCAGAACTAGGATAAGATACAAAAATTCCTCATTGGACACATCATAACCAGACCATCTTACAAAAACATTGTAGGAAATTAAATCAGAGTTCCACATCTTTTTTAAATGGATTAATTCAACAGCAGACATTCCTGAAACTACAGCCCTGGCAAGCCCGTACAGATATACTCTTTTGCTATGCCTTCAACAGCATCTTCTTACAAACATATATGGTCCATTTTGAAGGGAAGCAGGTAATTCACAGGGGCTTGGGGTGTGATGAAGAAGCTCTGAGACACCTACATTCAGGGTTAATCAGCATTATTCCATCCAGGACAGCTGTTAACTGGCAGTAGCACCGCCAGACGGAGAGCTCCAGGTCACACAGCGGAGCTAGAACCCGGGCCAGCGTGGACTACCAAAGCTTGTACTAGGAAACAGTGCTCAACTACTCCATAGTATGTCATGGTTTTACCCCAGCGGGCAGCTGAGCACCACGCAGCCGCCCGTTCACTCCTCCCCCCCCCATCAGGATGGGGAAGAGAATTGGAAGAGTAAAAGTGAGAAAACTCGTGGTTTGAGATAAAGACAGTTTAATAGGTAAAGCAAAAGCCGCGCGCACAAGCAAAGCAAAGCAAGGAATTCATTCTCCACTTCCCAGGGGCAGGCAGGTGTTCAGCCATCCCCAGGAAAGCAGGGCTCTGTCACGGTAACGGTTACTTGGGAAGACAAACGCCATCGCTTCGAATGCCGCTGCCCCCCCCTCTTCCCCCAAGCTCTTTATAAACTGAGCATGACGTCATATGGTATGGAATATCCCTTTGGTCAGTTTGGGTCACCTGTCCTGGCTGCGTCTCCTCCCAACTTCTTGTGCACCCCCAGCCATCCCGCTGGCAGGGCAGTGCAAGAAGCAGAAAAGGCCTTGGCCCCGTGTAAACACTGCTCAACAATAAGTCCATAGAACAAAAACATCTCTATATTATCAATGCTGTCTCCAGCACAAATCCAAAACGTATCCCCACACTAGCTACTATGAAGTAAATCAATCCTCTCAGCTGAAACCAGGACAATAGTACTACACTCTATCAGCTCTTCAGACACATTTGCTATGCAACCATGCTGGAATTTGCATGTCTCAAGCAGAAACAAAGGGGATTAGTACAAACAAACTGATCTGTATAGTAGTACATCAACTGGCTCAAGGAACAGCAGTAACAGCACAGAATGATCCTAATCATCACAGTATCACAACAAAAAGCTGAGGGTTGCATGGCGTATTTCCAGAAAGGACTTTAGCCTTAGCAAAATGCTTAATCCTAAGTACTCTTCCCTCCTCTACAACCATATCCTGCACTTTTATTATCCTTTGGAATTCTTCACCTCAAATGTAGTAAAGCTACTAGCAAGTTCCTTCCAGGCTAAGAAATATTTTGTAATACCTTTCTGTTAACGTCTTTAAATCATAAGCAGGCACAATTCTAACCAGAAGCTATTGAGTTTCTGAAAGCAAGTAATTTATAAAGAAAGCAGAGCTATAAACACTCACAACCCCAGGACTCAATACAGTATGCCTATTGCTGGGAAAGAAGAAAAAAAATATACTATCTCAGGTCAAGAGCATGCACTGTACTGTAACCGGTGCTAATGGGAAAGGCAAGGCTCAGCCCCACAGAGCCCTAAGCAAAAACACACCTATGAGCCTGTATGACCAGAGAGGCCGTTTTGGGAGTTTCATGAAAATCTGAACTGGGAATTAGAAGCTTGCAATTATTTTAGATTGAATAAGAGACTGAAAAATGTGAAGGGATACCTGACAAAGAGAGCTATGGACAATATCATAACTTTCCAAGCTTTGACTCCACCTGGGTAACTCCTCAAAACTATCTACAGTCTGGAGAAAGCAATCAAATTCCTCTGACAGGAATTTTTCATTGGATCTGGTCAGTGAAGCTGTTATCAACTTCAACTTCAGAGAGGTTTGTGATCCACTTTTCTTTTGCCAGAAGGACAGTCTTGACACCAGGCCTATTTTACCCCTACCTCCAGCACAGAACACCATTATGAAGTATGTGCAAAGCGCAAGGGACAAAGCCGTAATTCCAACCTGTTACACCATAACGGCATCTGTGCTCATCACCATAAATTGCTCCAGTGAAAGCAGAGATCCATTTGGTCCCTGAATAAGTGATCCCATGTCGTGTTCACTTGCGTGACATTACAAAAGAGTAAGGCTCCCTAACAGAAATCTGAAGAGGTGCACCACACATGGTCGCTGCCGGGCAGCAGCGCAGGCACTGGCCAGCTCAGCAAACCGAACTGCTATATTGCCTCCCCAGGGTCCCTTTAGACATCCTCACCTACATAACCTTGTTTGATGCTGCTTCAGTGACAACAGAAGCACAGCCTTCAATTTATCAGCAGGTTCAGCCATGTTTGCTCAAATAATTTCTACAGTTCTAGGAAAGGTCTGGTTTTCTGTACAATCTCTGGTTTACAACTTGTACAGGAGCCGAACAAGATCCTTGACATACATCGAACTGGATAACCTAATTTCTCAAGCCTCCATGTTTCATCTGAAAAATACCCACGGGCATATCCTTTACCGGATGCTTGTTTACTAAAATTGCTGTAACACTTCAGAGCTTCATGCTCAGGGGCCAGCACTTCAGAGCACATACTGTGGTTTCAAGTCAAACCATACATCATAACTATGGCATTTCCACAATTTCCCCTCCTGAGCTGTCTGGGACCACTCTACCATCACTCTTACATAAGAAACCCATCTTCCTTCAGCATCTCTTAGATTTGAGCTACAAGGACAGCAAGAGACATAAAACAGTTCTGTAAAATTCAGTGAGCTTCTGATATTCACCACTCTCAGAATGCAAGTATCCCCATCTCATACAAAATAACACTTTGCCATATGTAAACCATCATAAGCAGATCTCAGCCTAATACCACTGCTAACTGAGGCAGTTACAGCTGCATAGCTACACACTTCAGCTACACGCTTTCATTATGTACTAACCTATACCAAGCTAGTGCTTAGGATTCTCAGGGTGTAAGTAAGTATCAGTAAATTAATGGAGGGTACTTCTTATTAATTAGGAAACCACAAGTTTCTTGCTGCAGAAAAGCTACTGTTTCAGATGCTGTACTAACATGCACGTTCTGCCCGAAGAACTGTTCTCTTCAGAGCACTGTTGGTAAACACACAAAGCCGCTGCCCAGGAAGACCATCGATGTCTGTTTCATATGCCTTTGAAAGACAATTCACTACCTCCACTAGAGACACATCTCAACTCAAACATATTGGTTGTAATGGTGACTAACATCACGCATGCAATTGCACATTAACAGCACACCTCACCAGGATACTGCCTTCCTGCTATGCACACAGTAAAGACACCGAGGCACAAAACTGTCCCAGAGAAGGATTCAGTAAGAAACTTCCTGGTTGTTCTTTACAAAGGAGCACATGGAGAAACTGGGCACCATAATGATCAATTGGTTTGACACTTGGATCTCTTTGATAAATCTAAGGATAATTTGTGTTTCATAAATGCACATGCCACTCAATTCCCTGCCTAGAGAAATTCCACTTGTCCAGGACACAGGGCACAGTCACCCTGAATATTACATTTAGATTATTATCGCTTCTCACTAAAGGTGAGTTGATTTGCTATCTCTGCTGCTAAACATGAGCATCAGCTTTCCTATGATGAAATATATATGGACAAAGTTACTCAGAGATAAGCCCTTCATGTACTTCCATTGTCTTTAGCTTCTAAGGGATCTTGGGTAATTACACAAAACATTACACATTTATATAGTATCCTTTACCCCAGACTAGAATCTCTTCTGACTGGGTGCTGCAGTGAAGTTCTCCTGTCCGACTCATGCTAGATCAGGAGCCCAATCTGGGAGACGAAGAGATGCCATATCCTAGCTGGGAAAAAAACCCCAACCCATTCTACACAGCTACCAACTCCACACAACCTGTTGTCTAGATGTACTGCTTTCCACTTTCTAACACCTGCTCTGATGTTCTCTACAGTCCTCCTTCAATTCTCTTTTTCCAGGAGAAGAAAAAAGAAAAGAGTCTGGAAAAATTAACAAAAGCAAGCAGAATTTAAAGAGTGAACAGCAAAATCTCACTAAGCCTTCTGCTGAACAGATCAATTCACATGGATGTTTCTTACAGAAGGCATCTCCACTGTCCAGGAGATGAATTAAGTGCCATGCTTACAACCTACATAAAGAAGAATTAGTTTTCCACCCCTCCCCATCAATTGGAAGCACATACTTCCTCAGAGAAAGGATGATGAGGATGTCTAGTGTTCCTCTTTAGCTCCATCTCCTAAAAAACCTAAACTAGTCCTTCCCAAACAGGTGTCAGACCTATTCATTCTGAAAGAGCACCTTTGTAACCTGTAGAGTTTGCAAACTCAAAATACACAAATGGGGTATAGCAAAGAGACAAACACACTACAATGGCTTCAGCTTGGATCAACAAAACCGTGAAGACAAGACTGCCTGCTTTTTAAGGCAGACTCTATCTTGTCTTCCTTAAGTCAGGAAACAGAAATCGCTCTCACCCAATTATACAACCCCCGTCTCTTTAGAGACACAACAGAACTCTGTATCTTTGCTCAAAGACAACAGCATCGTGCCTTTGCATTTGGCTGGAAAAAAAATGGCACCAATTACAGCATGCAGACAAGAAAGGCCTTGGGAAGGATCCTACTGGGAGAGGAGTGTTCCCTGCTGCCCCAGGGACAGGGCTTATGATGGACTGGAACCACATTCCTGGAAAGCAAGACTGTAAAGACATCTCCAACAGTCCCTCTCTTTTCTCTTCAAAAAGTGATGCACTTCTATCACACACAGGAAACAGAAACAACCGTAGGTACTGAAGTAGAGCTCCCCACACCTACAGTCTCAGCTGAGTTTTGTCAAGCAGGTACGATAATTTCCATTCAGTTTTACTTCTACAGAAGACAAAGAGGCTCATGAACTCAAGGAGTTCAAGTGCCTTCAGGCTTAACTGAAAAGACTTCTTGGCCTGAAAGTACCTGGGGCATCCAGACAGACACCTACACACTAGGAGACAAGCCCAAAGAAGAGTCAAACAGAGCAGCACTCACAGGAAGTAACGCTGAGAAATAGTTCTGGGAGTCCAGGTTTGCATCCAGCTGCTGCAGTGGGAACTCCAGGATCACTTTACTGAGCACCTGAATCATCTCCTTCAGGCTAATGTTATATGCATACCTGCAAGGAAAAAGGCAAAAACCCCCAACATTTCACACTATCTGATCTCTGCAGACTGTGGTTCTTCATATCTTTATGCAGCAGAAAATTTGATTCTCTTCTTCCAGACTGTTTGTTTGGTTGTTTTTTCTAAATATTCAGGCAATAAAACCACCTTGCATTGCATCAGGCCCTGCATAAGGCCACAAGTCCTGAAAATCTGCTATCACAGCAGAACAAGTTGCTGCAGGGACAGCACCCTCACATTTACTGGAGTGCTGTAGGAACACTGTTGTACAAAAGAAGGGAAACAGGTTTGTATTTCAGAAATACTAGGTAAAAGGTACCCCGATTACGTGTGCTAGACTTGCTGCTGTAAAAACAGAGTGCACAAGCCACGCCACTGCACAGCCCCAGCTGCAGGCAGCTGGCTGAATGTTGCAATGCACCGAGCAGCAGCCCCTGCATGAACTTACAGGCAGCCTGTGCCAAGAACTGGCTTGCTCTCTTCAGTCCACAGTTACTTAACAGCAATTCAATCTCCTGTTACAGAATTGGGGCAGGAAAAGCCTAACCACTGAGGATGCTATAGATGCAGCTGGTGCTCTCGATCAACTCCTGTCGTCATTCAGTCATGATCTCTAATCGGCATTTCTCATGCTCTATACTGATAAAATTAATGTTTAACAATCAAACATGGGTATTCACATGATTTCTCCTCTTCTTTCTAGATCTGTTGTCAAACCCAGCTGTTCAGCATAAGGGACAGCATCCCTAAGGGAAACACTCACTTGAGGGAGTTGATTTCCAGGACCAGGTTGTCACAGGAAATGTTTTCTTCTTCACCCCTCTGTAAAGTACCCACAACCTCATTCTGGAAAACTAATGAAAGAAAGGACAGGTAGTTAGGTATGAGAGGGAAAAGCACAGATTCTTCAAACTGTTTATTACTGAAGAAACAAAGGAAGCATTCTGACACAGACATCTATTTGTTCTCTGTAAGCTGGCACAAACCCGCATCGACTAAACTTATAAATAGTGGAATATAATTCAAATAAAGGAGATGACCTACTGGATATCATTGATCTATCCTCACAAAACAGTACAAAGTTATTTACCTCTGCAACCTGTTAGAGCAGAGTTTCTACTATACTTTTACAGTCTACTCTTTCCTATTCAGACAAACCTCACCTCCTCCTAACTAAAGATGTGAATTCAAACGTAAATTTTATTGGTTTAATTTCCTTTGGGGACATATTTTAATGTGAAAAAGGTGTGTTTTTTTCCCAATTTGGCTTGAACCCCTTTCAAATCCAGGTAAGCTTAACACAACAAAACAGAAACCCAAAACATATCTGCCAAAAGAGGCAGCTCGTACAAGGACATTTAATTCTCCGGTACGATTACAGCAGTAAGCTGTCTACACAGGGAAACTCTGCTGGACCTTCAACACAATCTCTGAGTTTAGGCAATGACACTGCCATTTAAACAGACAACTCAAGGAGGTCACTTTCCTGAAGGCCCACTGATCAGGAGTGAGAAAGATGGAGGATCTTTGTCTACCTTCTCATCCTTGGCTGCCGTGGGTTAACACAACGGCAATACAAGGGATATTAAAGAACTCTGTAGAAAATGCTGGAAGTGAGGTCAGTAAACCAACATAGTATAGATATCCACAAATTTTCCAATATACCTAAAGAAAGCAGCACAAATCTCACACTCACTGCATTATCTGCAGACTCGTCATACTTCTTAAAAGGCCATCTCTCACCTTTGATATCATCTAGCTGAGGGGATGCTGCCCGACTGTCTGGCTCCTCAGAGCCCATGCTCACATCCGTGTCTGACTCACTCTCTTCCTCTGAATGCATAGCTGGGCCTGATGAAGAAGAGAAGACACAGCATTCAACGCTCAAAAGCTGCAACTGTCACATGCATGAGGAACCAGGTGTTCCAGGGACTTCCCAACCAAGTCAGCAACTATCTGTCCTTGCAAGAAAGCTTCTGCTTTCAGGTCCAGATGATGAGATTTGCTGCAGAGGGATGCTACAGCTGGCACTAGCAGAATTGGACTTTTTTAAAGAATCTGCAGGCAGACAACAAAGGACAAGGACAGAAGCAAAAGCATTTTGTGCAGACTGCTGACTCACGATGGAGCAATGTCAGCAGACACTGTCACTAGCAGGAAGAAAGCCAGCAGTACCTGGAATAGCCAAAGCATATTCCCTCTAAGGGAGGGCCTGGTATCCCATAGCGAGCCATTCACAGACAGCTGCGCGTGTGAGCATAGAGTCACAGATTTAATGAACGTGTTCCACAGAGCACAGGAAGAGAGAGAATCTGGTCCACCACCTGGTTTCACCTCTCACCTTGCCTCCACACATGTATGTTATCTGCAGCCAGTCTGCTTCACAAAGCCCAGGTCTTACTCTAGACACCATTATGAGCATCCCATTCAGCCAGTTTCCCTGACACAGGTCTGTCTGTCCATCCCCAGGTGACTACACTAAACTTTTCCTCACCCCATAGGCTTTGTCTCTGCTCTTCTTCATCCTCTTCATTCTTGTCATCTGCTTTCCAGAGATAACCTCTGCCCTCTGAACCTACATCCTTTTTATTGTAACCTGAAAAAGAAACAGCCATTAGGGGGTAGATGTACTGGATCTCCTTACAGGCAAACCTGAAATAGACTGGTATAACCGCTTATTACTGCCCCTAAATATCCTTCATCAAGAGGGAGCTGGGGATCCTGCAGATGCATACAGATTTCAGCTTTTATCTTCTCGCTTGCCTTGACAACTGACCAACTTACTCTTCCCTACAGCAGCAACATTCAGCTGACCATGTTTAGATCCCTCCACAAACCCCACCTGGTAGAAATAGTCTTTCACAAGGACAAAGTCCTTGGACACAGTCCAGGTACAAGGACATAGATCTGGCAACCTGCCTTGAACTGAACATCTCTTCCAACTTCAGCTTATCATCTCCTACAAAGCTCCTACTTTAAGAAAAATGGAAAATAGCTGAGTCTCCACAAATTTTAATACTGGGGTATTGAGGCACATCTCACTGTCCAACCTGAGCCAAATATCCTTGCTTGCCCTACTGAAAACACACATGTTCCAAGCTGGATGCAGCACTAAGCTCTAGCCTGGCACTGGGGAGACTAGAATAGGGGAGGGAAAGACCCGAAAAGATCACAGAAGGCAGAGCCCTCTGCATAGCCTGAGTGCATGGAGCCAGAGACTCTCATACCTTTCAGTTTCACTTTGCTTTCCTCCTTGTTCATGCCAGAATCATCACTGAACTGGTCATCATCCTCTTCCTCCTCATCTGGTGGGTGCAGAGAGATCACTGTGCCCTCAGAAAGAGTGATGCCTGGACCTACTACTACCTGCAAATATATGCAAAATATCTTAATGAAGAAATTCCCTAATTGCTCCCTTGTACCTTCACCAGCAGGGACAACTGCTCCGGACAAGCTGTATACTAACAAGTATAACTGCAGACATCAGCACTGCCAGATTACATACCATCCTACCCTAGCCAAACAAAAGAAAGAAAAAGGCGGGAGCAGTAGCATATCCCCCACCTCTGCAAAAAGGTTTGGAGCAGCCCTGCATTCTGGTATGGTCTAGTGTAAGTCTAGTAACTTGCCAAGCAAGGCAGAAAGCCGAACAGACATAAATACAGCTCACCTGAGAAGAGAGGACACAGCGGGGCTTTAGCTTTACTTTCTCCTTCACTTCAGCTTCATCACAGATAACGGAATGACAGATCTCCACATTATCTGCTATGTGTACTTTGTCCCAGAGAAAAGCTCCGTCCAAAATTACTTTATCACCTGTTATACATCACCAAGCACAAATATGTTAAGCAAGGCAGTTTGCTGCTCTCCCACACTGCTGAGTCCACTAGAAAGCATCTTGCTGAATCCCAGTGCCCTTGATGCATGACGGATGTTAGATGAAAGGTAAAAATTTGCCTTAGAGGCCTACGGTCACTTCTTACCCAAAGCTAAAAGATGAGTTTGTTCTCCACAGAGACTTAACAAGTTGGCAGTAACAACTGACATCTTAGTTTTGCACGAACACAGCCAAATCACAAAAAAATTCCAGTCAAGACTAGGCAGAAGGAGTACCAGGCAGCTCACAAAACCACGGACAGATGTCCCTCATTTGCAGGATGCTGGTGGGTGATAACTCTAGATCAGTAAAGGTCATGCGTTCCCTACTGCTGAAACAACTTATTTGCATCAAGTACCTTCCAACTTTCACCATCATTATGGTACCCTGAAAACTTTAATCTATTTCCTGTGCTGGAAAACCAAGCTCTTCTCCCTTCTTCCCACTAGAAGTCAATCGGTACCCACCTATCATCCTCTCTCAGAGCCAAATGCACTTTAAAAACTAAATCCCAACAACCCGCACCCTTGCCTGGCAATGCCTGCGCGTCCCCCATTCTTGTACTCACCTATCCTACAGTTCTGCCCAATAACGCTGTTCGTTATGGAGCAGTTGCTGCCGATGACCGTTCCCTGCCCAATGAGCACGTTCTCTTCCAGCACGCTGCCATGGCCGAGGCTGACATCCACTCCCCGGTAAATGTTGTGTTTAGAATGGGTGTAACTCTGATTCTTGTCATCGGTAAAGTTCATTTCTGGAGTCAAAGGATAAACCCAACGCCGGATGATGTCAGAGCACACAGCTTCGTACATCAGCAGGTTGCATATATGGGCACCGTACTCTTCTGTTGTTACATGCATATGGATCTGGTTCCCCAGGACCTGGGAGACAAGCAGGAGCACATCAGAGGATTCTCTAATGCAAGGTAATAGGATCTCCCTTGTAACAACCCTCTCCTTACCTCCTCATTCACCAACAGACCACGCACAAAGTCATCCCGTGTCTGGTAGTCAAAATTGTCTGTGAACAGCTCAGCCACCTGACAGGAATAAAACATAAAGAAATAATATAGTTAGCAGAAAATGTTGCCAGGGAAACCAGATAATTAATGGCTGTTCAGTGGTTCTCAGAGAGCAGAGTTATACACTACAGGAAAGTGATGCTCTTGCCTAGAACAAAGCTTTGATTCCTTCTGCTAGGAGGGTTGACCTTCCCATCTCTTCCTCTTAACAGAGACTATGAACAGATTCTGGTTTTCTGAAGGGGCAAAACATTACTTTAGCATTTCCAAGCAATCTGCCCAGCCTTACTTTGTAGTTTCACTCCCAAATGAAGGCTGTAGACCAGCTTTTTCAGATGGTCTCTCTCAGGAAGAGATGTTAGCAAGCCTAGGCTGGAATAACCCTGAATGTTACCCTAACATGGTACCAGCTTGCAAGTACTGACACTTTTCCATCACATAGCCATCACCTCTGCTCCACAGATGTTACTATACTTTAAGTGAAATCACTTATTCTCCAGAACAGTCAAATCAGCCAGTCTACCGATGCATCCGCTGTTTAGTTCTGCCTGGGCTCAAGCAGTGGATGCCAGATCCAGACTGAGCACTCACACAGTCTGCAGAGCGGTGCCACATGATCGCTCAGGCTCTCAGCTCAGTCACTGAGCACATCTGGGAGTTCTAGGTTCCAAACCTAGTACACTCAGGCCACATGCACCCCCTGCACACCAGCAGAGCAATGCGGATTGAATTTTGGATGCTGAGAAGGGCAGAGCTCACCTGTGGAGAGCAGATGCTGATATGACAATCCAGCAAGTCATGGCGCACCTCGACATTCTCAATTGAGTTCTGGAACAGACTCTGAAAGAGGAAAAAATTCAGATGATCTGACTGCCTCATGCAGTACCGGGTCCCAAAAGCCTTCTATAAGCCAGGGGCAGTATTGACTGAATTATTAAACTAGCTGAAGTTCTGAAGATCAGAGAAATCTACAATCTACACTGAGACAGAAGCTTAGCAGGCACAGCCAGGTCACACACAGAGCAGTGTGTCAGTCAGCAGAGACTGCCCTCATCTTTACGCAGCACAGCTCTCCAAGAAACAGCTTGTACTTCGAACAATCACTTCCTCCAGGAAGCTCCTTACCTTAGTTGCTAGGAGCTACACATGTACAAAGAACATTAATAAATCAAAACAAAATATTCATAGCTTCCATACCCCTTGTGGATTTTTACAGCTGTGGGTTGTTTCTTTGTGGTTGTTTTTTGTTTGTTTTGTTTTTTCCTTTTTGTTTTCATAGACTGATTTGTGCTATCATTTGAAGGTAAAAAATAAGCTACTGATTACTGATTTGGAGACGAAAATGCTATATAATTACAGTCTTAGTTCTGAGGTGAAAAAAGAAAAAGGTCCATTTATCTCACTGGAGAAAAACGCCTCTGCAGACATTTACAGAGCATTTACTACGTTATTAGTAGAGCCCATAATCTTTTTAGGTGAACAGTACATGCAGAGGTAATAGAAGGTACCGCCCCTTGCACCCGCTGTTATTCCACTCCCTCTGCCAGGCTTGGTGCTGCTTCAAAATGGTTTGTGTACAACTGTGCTATATGCATCCCAATCTGGGAATCTCTGCGACAGCACAAATCATCCACCTCCCTTGTTTCACACAGGGAAAAGGAGTCAAAAAAATGCAAACACTGAATTGTGAGAAATACGTCTGCCCGATCTTCAAACTCTGAAATGAGTCCCAACCACGTGTGTCCCAGCAAAATTGCACCAAGCCTCAAATAAAGGTTAAAGGAAAAAAAATCCAGTTTACCAAGAGTTACTTCCTATCACCTGCTCCTCCAAAAGAAGCAGCAAGCACAGTTCCCCAGCCCTCTCTCAAGGAGGACCTCCTGGGGTGGGCTGCTTCACTACCACGGCCCTTTTCCACCCATCAGGTTCCTGACGCACCATAGGAAAGTGGAAGCGTTTCAGCCCCTGGGTTCTCTGGTAGTGAAGGACGCGGTTTGTGGCACTGTCCATAGCAATAACAATGTCATCCTCTTTGCACCTGGCATGGTGACCAGGTGAGGACTCCTTGAATATCATCGTCATCACAGAAACATTCTTTTCCATCTTACGACGTAACCTGAAAAAGAAAGGCAGAACTTTAGAATCCGTCTTCAGAGAATTAAAGCCCAGAGTCTCAGCACACCAGGTAAGTGTATGTTCCTTTCAACACCTACTTGTGCTCTTCCAGTGCTTTGGATATGTTGAAATTGGACACCACATCTCCAGTGACGAGAATGAAGTCGGAACGAACAAGGGACTTCGCATCAACGTCTCGTAGCACGTCACCAAGGGAGCGGTACAGGTCAGAAGTCACAAAGCGCACCGTGTTGGGAGAGGTGTGGCGGCACCACTTGGATTTTCTGGAAGACGAAAAACACGTTAGGAAGGCATAAAGAGGATATTCTGATAGAGAAAATACTAGGACACAGGGCACCAGTGCACACCACATCCATAAGTGAATGCAAGGAGAATCCTATCACAATGAGCAAACACTAAGGACAGGTTTAGGTGTGCTCATTTGCACACAGCAGATGAACTGAAGAGGGTTAGACTTTGAGACCATTGCGTACGGAAACTCAGGAAACCCGACCCCACTGTGAGCCGAGGTTTGACAATGGAGAAGGAGAAGTTAAAACACAACCCAAGCATTTTCTCAGAAAGCAGTACCTCAGGCAGGGAAAAGACCGCATGCTTCTCTTGCAGGGAAAAGACATGCACGGAGAGGCCAAGGTGCTGACAGCGCTGTTTCCGCATGCTGCACAGCGTGCCAAGGCAGGGCATGATGCAAAAGGTGGTACTCTAATTTACATGGCTACTCACAAGAAATCCCTGCTTTTAGACAAAGGTTAAATGCCAATATAAATGCAGTCCCAAAATACCCAACCCTTTTAACACACTGCACAGCCACACTCCTTCACATGGGGAATGATCTTTTTTTGAGATGAGCTAGGAGACAACTGTTGAAAGGGAATCTCTTGCACACAGTTTTCATCAGAAGGATCAGTGAGACCTTTGAGGCTTGTTGGAGGATACAAGAATTCTTTCCATGATAAAGCTAAAAAGAAGAAACGATTCTTACTGTAAATGCTCTTTTATCTCAGCTGACTTCCAACAGCAGAAAACGAAGGTTTCTTCCACGCCAGTTGCTGTTAGGAACTCCAAGGTATAGTCGATCATGGCTATATTTGCCATAGGTAAAAGAGCCTAAAAAAACCCCAAAAAACAAAAACCCATATAGACAGCTGAACACTCTGTACCTCAACATCAGCAACAGCTTCTTCCAACTTGAGGATATAACATCATCAGCAGTACCAGAAAAATAACATGAGTGACTGCTCCACCACCTTTTATCAAAAACTTTTAGAGTTGATCTAAACAGTAAGAGCTATTTTCTGGGCAGATCCTCAGTTCAGAGAGGAAGGCATAAAAAAAGTGAGGTTATCGCACACAAAACTCTTCAAGACGACCCAGATAAATGAAAGAGACTGGGGGGAAAAAAAAAAAATCCCAGAGTGCTGATTCCCTGACTCAGGCTTTAACTGTTTCAAGAAAAACCTGTCAGACATGGATGATGAAGCCACAGGAATATGAGCGTCCAGAATTAAACAAGGGGGAAAAAAACCCAACCTAAAGTGAAGTGAGTATTCTATTGAATTGAGATTCAAGCCACACTTTTAAACCAAGTTACTGATTCACAACTGAGTGATCTCATACTATTCTTTAATTCATTTTCTGATGTTTTAAGTCCTGAGTTTGCGTGTATAATTATAACCACCACAACCATTTACTCAGCAAACGAGGTAAGATAATTGTTCAGATCTCAATTCTCCAGAAGCGCTCTTCTTTCCTTTTACATACGCCTTTCTGATCTGGATAATTAAAGTGCTTTCCCCATCTATTTTTCTGGCCGTATTCTTTTACCCATTACTGCTAGCAAGGACAAAGATTTTGCTTTTTTTTCCCCTATCAGACACAAGCCTGCCCCAACCCGCTCCTGCTACAGCGACAGAAGAAAAGCGAACAGGGCAGTTTGCCTTGCCGTATGGAAAAGCAAACGGCAGCGATCAGACCCTCGCTGCCTCTCCAGCGGGGGACATCATAAACTCTTATAAGCGAGGACAACCGGTCAGAGGCCTCCGCGGCGCGGGGGGAGGCGGGAAAAGCCGCGGCCGTGGG